AGGGGTGTGAGAGGGAAGATACCAGCTGCCAGAAGGTTGTTGTGGGTGCTTTGCTTTATTGATGCTGCATTACAAATGAGAAGTGCAAAAGGTGCAGAAAGCATCGGAGCCTTGCCTACTGTTGGGTGCACACAAGTGAAAATAATTCAAGATAAAATAGCACCTTTCCCAGGTTTCCCCACAGCCATGTAAAACACCTGTGGACAATAATAAATACAACAAGGAAATCAGGTATATTTTAAAAAGCAACAAATATGGTTCTTCCCTTCATCTAGTGCAGCCAGGTCCTTCATTTGGTGCAGTGAGGTACATCACTGAAAGACTTTTGAAAGCAGGCAGCTTAAAGGGATGAGGCTGCTATGAGATACAGACGTAGAGGAACCAGTTTGGAAGCTCAGCCCATCCTGATGGCACTAGTACAACTCACTGAAAGCTATGTAACAGCTCAGCTACATCTCAGGTACATTCTGGATTTTTAAAAACAAAACAAAACAAAAACCCCCATCAAGATATAATGTAAAATGGGGGAAAGGGAGGAAGGCAAAAGTATGTGTAGGTTGTTGGTGTTTTTTTCCTCCTTTCTCTTCCCCTATCCAGATGGAGTCAGAGACACTGATTTACATACCCTGCAACCACTGACCACTTCTGTACAGCACGCTGGGCTTTCCTTCTTTCCCAGTATCCCTGTGTTTATCACCTGGGACGTTGCCCTCCAAAGAGATGCTTTATGCAAAAAACATTTGCCCTTTTCTGCCTGCAGAGCTACATGATAATGCTGAGGCCCAGGGGCCAGAGCTGGGGCTGAACTAGGATGCAGGGTTAACTTTCCCTGGGTCCCTAGGCAGCATTTAGGACTTCTCTGCTGAAACTATCCATTGCCTTCCCACCCTCTTGCATGTGAGCAGAGCAGTGGGTGGAGGTCCCAGGACCAGATGGGCTGGATGAGGAGGTGCATTGGGAGCCCAGACCTGCCAGTTGTTCCTCTCCAGGGATCACTGCTGGTCACTGCTGCAGCCTCCTATGCTTCTGCAATCCAGCAGCTAAGCGCTTGGAGTGGTGCCTGCGCGTAGAGGCATCATTACAAAAATCAGAGTCAATTCTGCCCATCCCTCTCGAGAAAACACAGCATTTTGAGGTTGTTCTCAAGCTTGCAGTCTGAGATTTCCAAGCTAAGCCCATGATTTATCTGCCAACCTGCAAAGAGGATTTGCAAGCAACAGAAGAAACTTGAGATGAAGCAAAGGTCCAGCTTCATCCAGACTCCCACCATCCAGACAGGACTATGCTCAGAGGCTGCTTGTGTCTCTCCTTGCAAGTAAAGGCAGTCTGTGCCAAGCCAAAAGGCAAGATGGTACAACATGAGCAGTCTCCTGATAGCCAAAAAAATTAGCTGCTCTGATCTGGCCCCATGGTCACACCTGACAGGATAAGGCAGAAAAGAGTGTTTAAGAAGAGACATGCTTGGAAACATCATCACTTTTATGGTGCTTCCAGCATCACTGCTTAGGTCCCTGGGGGATGCAGCCAAGAGATTTGTCTGAAGCTTTGCTTGCTTTTTAATCATCTTTAAATGCCTCCCATGATAGTCATTTATACAGCAAAGAGCAGGAAACAACTAAGGCTCCCAGAGGCAAAATTTCCACCAGTGACAACCAGAAGCCACAGTGAAGTCACTCCTCACCCTTCATAGGGACACCTTTTAACACAATGAAAACTGACGGGCTGCTTGAGGTGTCGGGAGAGGAACAGCAAGGCAGACACATCCTTTCTCCACCTGCAATGAAGTAAGTATATGTCTAGAGGAAGCAGTAAGCTCTGTATCTGTACAAACCCCCTCCTGACCAACCACAAAAATCCCAAGAGGAATACACTACATGAAAAAAATTTTTTTTTGGCTAGCTGCAAAATTTAAAAAGAAACTATTTTAAAACATATATTTTTAAGGGCCTAAATCAGCAACTCCACTTTTGAGGTGGAAAACCTTTTCTGGACCAAGTCTTCTGGACCAGGTTGGGCTTGGTGAGGTCCTTAGCCAAGTCCCTTATCCCACAGCAAGACAGAGTTGGTCATGCCAGTGGAACCGCACAAGCAATGTGGTGTCTGACTGATTTGGTAGATTAGGGATGCTTCGGCACTGTTTTGCCTACGTTGCTCTACTACCAAATTCAATTGCAGCATTTTACCTCCCATTTGCACTGGTGCATGATGGTTTTTGCCATCTTCAGTTCCCATGCAGCTTTCAGGTCTCGGGAACAGCCCAAAGTGGTAAAAGCACCCCCACCAGCCACTGGGAAACACACCCAAATCTCACCAAGAATCACTGGACACCTATTTATCTTGGTGATTTCAAGGGGGCATCTGCCACAGGATTGAGGTTTCATGGTTGCGTTTAAGGTCCTCTTCCAGTTTTGAGCTCCAAAAGAGAAGCTACAACATACTCTGTTCCTTCACAAGGAGTGGTATTTGGCATGGCCTTCTCCCCACCCAACTCTCACCCCAGGAGCAAAAATAAATGAAAAGTAAAAGAAAAAGTCAGGCTTCATATTCTGGATGGATATTTATTTGCTTAACAGATTTTCTTTTTTTCTTTTTTTTTTTCTTTTTTGGTACAAAGCATCCAGGAAAGCTTTTACTTCTCTTTTTAAAAAATAAAAACTAAGTTTCTTTTAAAAAAAGACACATGAAAAGGAAAAAAAAAAGTCAATTATTTGCAATTGCTCTGTTTTTATTCTGCCTTCCCACCCACCCACTTCCCTTCCCCCCTCCCTTAATTTGGACTGATTTTCATTCTTTTCCATATATATTTAATAAAATAAATAAAGGATTTTCTTTGTCGTGTATTGCAGTGCCATATTTTTTTTAAAACAAAGGCTTCATGGCTCAACATTGCAAGGTAATAACAAACAAAAGGATTATACATTAAAATCCTCCCCCTCTCAAGACTCCCCCTAGCCCTCCCCTCCAAACCACGAAATAGAATACAATTCAAGTAGTCTTTTTTTTTTATGTTTTAAATGTATGGATATATAAGACAAAGCAAGTACAGAACTGGTTAACAGAGTGTCCCCATTTTATTAGCAAGTGAGAGTATATTAGGGAGATGTAATTGATTCCCCCATTTTTATGGTTCCTAGACAGATAATATATATTATTTTAAACCCAACCTATTTTACAGCCCTCTGCCCACCTCTCAAACCCATACACTCACCAAGTCCCAAGCCTCAAGCCTCAAGCCAGAGACTTGCCTTTCTCCCCCATCCCATGCAGCGGTCCCAGCCCTACAGCACCCCCAGTGCAACCCTCCACAAACCCAGGGAGGGGAGCTGGGGAGGGCAGAGGGTGTGGGGCAGGGAGAGGAGGGTCCGGTGAGAAGGACGCAAAGGGCAAGAGAAGGAAAAGGAGATGGCAGGGGCGGAACTGCTGCTTCTGCAGGGGCTTGGTGTCGAGGTCTGCCCTCCTGCCTGCTCTCTGGAGCGTCGGCGCGCGAGAAAGCCGTCAGGGTGGGGAGGAAACGGTAGGTCCCCCACGGCTTGGGAAGCCAAGCTCTGCCAGGGGTCAGTGCAGAAGCAGGGCCTTGAGTTCTAAGTGGCAACACCTTCACCATTCAAAATAGTTTGTCTCTAGAACAGTTCCCTTTTAGTCTAAAACGTGGTGGTTTTGTTGTTTTGGTTTGGGTTTTTTTCCCAAAAGAAAGAATGCGTGTCGATGTATTTCTGTGTGTGCGTGCATCTGTGTACATGAGTAACAGCCAACTAGCTCATATGGTCATGACCAAGCTATATTTCAGAAGAGAAAAGAAACACATTTATCACACTTTTCCTAAAACGAAAAGCTAAAATTTCAAGTTCAGTATTCGCTATCTTGTCCTTCCCTCCCCACCCTCCCTTGCTATTTCTGGGTTTTTTCCCTTCCAACTTACTTTAGCACCATAACACATTTTAAACATTACAATCCCTCTTCAGATACTACACAAAATGTCCCATAAAAATAGTGCTTTTTTGCCAAAAAAGTTATATAATATATTATATATATAAATCAACTAAATCCGTGGCAAATGTGCAATGCAGACGCCTCCTCCATTTAAAGTGAGCATCAGCTCACTTTTTTCTTTTTTTTCTTCTTTCCCCTTTCCTTTTCCTTCTCTCTTTCTTGCTTTGTCTCTCCTCTTCCTCTCTTTCTCACATCATCGGTGATTTCATAAAGGTGCAAGTCGATTTGGAATCTTGTAATGAAGCACACACACAAAAACGCAGATGGGGGTTCCTCAGAACTTCTTCTCAGGTACGTTTTTCTTACAAAGGTGCAAAAGAAAGTTATAAAAATAAGAAAACCAAAAGAAAAAAACAACAACAACAAAAAAAGAAGAAAACTGTGGGGTGGGAATGAGGCAAAAAAAATTTATCCCTCAATATTTCTCCCCGGTTTATTGGTATATTTCACTTTATTGTCAAGAAAGACATGGAATGGATTCTTCTTGAGAAAAAAGATTAAAAAAATTTTAAACGTCGTATCCTTTTTCCTTCTTGCTCTTTCTTTTGTCTTCTGGCGTTGGCACCAGGGATGTCACGCAGCAACTGGCAGCAAAAAGTTCAAGTGCCAAACTGTCCCTTTGCAAGTACAGGCTTGGAAATACTGGGGGCACGGGGGAACGAAACAGGCCTGGGAAATGAAACAACCCTCCCCCCCATCCCAAAAGGACGATGCCGTGGGAGCGGTGCTGCTCCCCACCGCTGCTGCCGCCACCATCCCCTCCTTGCTGTGTCAGTTGTTTGGTTGGGGCCGGAGCGGCATGAGGGTGCCCCACCGCCCTGCTCCTCGGCTCGGCGGCCCCGGGGACGGAGGGGCTTGGGGGTCGGGAATCACCAGTCCTCCCGCCCTCCCCCAGGAGATCAAAAATCGAGACAGTTGGTCAAGGTTCATTTCTGGGGCCCAGCCGTTTCTGGGGAGGCTCGTGCTGCT